GTGCGGCCAAGGTCTATATAAGTACTTATATAGACCTTGGGTGCGGCCGCCTCCCGCGCTACTCCGCAGCTGATTGCAGATCCCCTTTCGCCTCGCATCGCGTTCGGTGTGGCCGTGCCTAAAGCACAATTCATTTGGAACTTGAAAAGAGAGTTTTTCGTATTTTTTTATATAAAATTCTTTGTTTTTTTGTGCAATACATAAGAAAAATGACCCATTAATTTTGCTTTATCAATATTTTTATACGTGTATTTTCACATGTGCTTTGTTACTAAGGAGTCAGTTATTAGGCCTACCTGATCTCGCCTATTTACCACATTACTTGAATATCCAATGATTTTTTTACTTCTGTTATTATTATCATTACTAGTGTTATTTTTTTCTCTTATTTCATTGTTTTCACCATTACCATTCTTCTTATCATCATCATCATCATCATCATCATTATCATCAATCATCATCATCATCATCATCATCATCATCATCATCATCATCATCATCATCATCATCATCATCATCATCATCATCATCATCATCATCATGATCAATCATTCAAAACCAAAAGTAAATATAATTAAAAATACAGTGGAAAAAAGGATGTTAATGAATTAACAAAACACGCCAGCATTTAACCTAATTGCTCAGGGTGTACATTCTGCCCACTTTAGTTTTCTTTTCTCCATAAGTGTTCAGCCATTAAGGAATTAATAGGCCTAGTTACTGTGTCCGAGTTCCCCTGTCCTTGAATTTGCTTGAAAATGTTCGTTTTTTTTTTCTCAAGCAATAAGTATTGACATCGTTAGTGTTAACATTATGATTATTAGAATATTGTTCAGGTATTAATGACAGTAGAATAATAAGATTATTTTTGTCTCCAAAAATCAAGGAAAAGGATAAACTGATGGGATAGGTAGGATGAATAATTGACTCCCAGGTGATTATGCACTTATGGACCCATTTATTTGTAAACAAAATAAAGTAAAATTACATTGGACATGGCAGGTGTTTTGTTATCCGGAAAGAGAGGTATACAAGGTATTTATATTTACAAATATTTAAACAGTATATATACACAAAATATGCTTATTTTCAATATACAGTATATCCATCCTCTTCTGTTGCATGAAAATCAGCGAGAGGATGTTCACGTTTTGTGTTTTTTTTTGTGCCATGACATTTATTGAGCTAAAGGAGAAGTGAATTGAGCTAAATTATTTTTTATACTAAATAGTGAACAAGTACTTTATAATTTCTTGCAGTCTTTCTACCTAAATGTCATTGTTATTTAGACGTTATCTTTTGAAAGTACCTTTGATAAGCTATTAGTGTGTGAAATGTAAGAAAATGCTTACTCTGTTCTGTTATTTGATTTTTATTGATATGTATATACCAGAAAATAAAAGTTTATGCCAAGAGTCTGTCTATAGATAGCTTTTGCTTTTCCATTAGAAAAGGTAAGTATGCGCGCGCGCACACACACACACACACACACACACACACACACAACACACACACACACACACACACACACACACACATGTATATATACATACAGTCCTCCCTCCGCCAGGTGTTTTCGGTGATAAGCAGTATTTTAGTTATACAGGTAAACTAGTCTATTCTGTCCATGGAAACCCTTTACAGAGCGGGATACTTCCCCAGCTGTGAAAGGAAGCGAAATGAAAATCCCTGCTAAGCGCGGCACCGCTGTGATGCTCCTTCGCCCCGGCTAAAGAGGGAAAGAATGCACACACACACACACACACACACACACACACACACACACACACACACACACACACACACACACACACACACACACACACACACACATTTATATAGGTAGATATATTTCATATATATTTATATCCATATTCTGTACATGTTTATGATATATACATACACACACACACACACACACACACACACACACACACACACACACACACACACACACACATATATATATATATATATATATATATATATATATATATATATTATATATATATATATATATATACATAAAAGCTTTTCTTCCTGTTGTGCTTCAACACGATTTATACCATTACGTAATTATGATTTATACATATGGATATTTAGGGTATGCAATAGGTTCATGGCACACATGTGCTTTTCACAATATTGTAGTATAGTTTGTATAAAACTTGCATTTTATCCTAATTATTCAATTTGGCCATTTCAAAACAGTAAAGTTGTGTGATAACTGCATGTGAGTTGCCATGGACCGCAATAATTACAGTTCCTCCCCAAATACATCTTTATATAAAGTCATTACATATTCTTGAAGGATGTATTGACCTATTTTCTGTAACACCAGTCTTTAAAAGATGCTTATCTGATTGATTACAATTCCTGATGGAAAAATAAATACACATCTTTTACCGCAGAGCTTATCTGTAAATTTCCAGAGATATCATATTAATAAAAGATATATATTCCATGTAGCATGTTTTCTTCAGAAAGTATTATCATGACA